TGGTGGCAGCCGAGAGCCTCGTAGAATCCTTAAGGTTGGGAAAGAGCTCTAAGCAGAGAGGAGGGGGAAACCAGGCACCGGGGCGCCAAGGGGTTGCAGAGGGCTGTGTGATGTCCCTGGGTGGCTGCTGTATGGGAAATGCATGGGGACAAAGGGGCAATGCGTGGCTCCAGCAGGGAAAAGGGGAACAAAATCCCCCATTGAACTCTGCTTGCTGCCAGGACTCCCCGGAGCACAGCAAGTGCCTGGAATCCTCCCCAAAGCAAAGCCTTTCTCCTGCTCAAGACGTGCCCAGAAAAGCCAGAGCCCAACCCCAAGAGAAGGACATACCTGAGTTATGGCGTGGGCTTCCTCCAGCCGAGCTGCAGCACCCAGTGCAAGCAAGGGGCAGCATCACTTCAGCCTCCTCTTCCTCGGGTCTGTGCTGCTGCTCTCTCTGACCACCCACACCTGGGGGCTGAGGGCTGCCGTTCAGCCCTCCCAGAGCCCTCACCCCAGCTGCTGTTGCAGCGCCACGGGCCAGACAGAGGCGACCCTGCAAAGTTCGGGCGGTTGTGGGTCTCCTTTGGGACGTTCCCTCCACTGCCAGGAACGGAGATCCTCACTCAGCTGCCTGCCTGGATTCTGCAGTGCGCTCAGGGCACTTGTGGGGCTGTGGGGCTGAGCTGTCCCTCTGTGCCCCGCTGCAGGTGCGCTTGGTCATCGCTGAGAAGGGGCTGCCCTGCGAGGAGCGCGATGTCAGCATGCCGCTGCTGGAGCACAAGGAGCCCTGGTTCATGCGGCTCAACCTGGGCGAGGAGGTGCCCGTCATCATCCACCGGGACAACATCATCAGTGACTACAACCAGATCATCGACTACATGGAGAGGAACTTCACAGGAGGTAACGGGGGCACAGCTGCGTGCCGGGCTTCGTCTCAGCACAAACCTAGGGCAGATTTGAATGTCGGTGGCCAAATGCACCCATTTCCTCCCACAAAGGTTTGGCTCGCCCACGTCCAATTCTCACGCTTTCCTATCAAAATGAAGGATTTCCAGCAGAAATCCTCAGACATCCCTTGCAAATCCTGCAAGGGGGATTTGGGAGAGCTGCAGCTGGGTTTGCCCTTCTGTCCTAGACTCTATGCTCCCAAACTGAACCACTCCTCCCATCTCCATGGCTTGGGGAGCCCATGGTGTGCGGTGGCATCTCACCAGGCTCTGCACGCTGGGGACAGAGTGACAGAGATCCAGAGGAAGGGACGGCTGAGAGGGAACTCCTGTGTCCTCCCCTTGGAGCAGGGCTGAAGCTGGGACGCTGAGGTCCAAGGCCGCTCCTCACGCAGCTGCTTTGGCAAGTAGCATCTCCAGCCCCTTAGTCCATGTCATCCCAGATCTGCAGGCTGCCACGCTGGGATGCTCCGCTGGGAGACTTCAAAGCCCAGCACGGAGCTTTGGCTGTGGCATCAAGACTCTCGCCCCAGCATCCACCAGCCTTGCGGCGGAGGCATCAAAAACATCTCTAAATAGCTCCCCAAGCACAGGCACCATGCCAGCTCAGCTGCTGTCCTCTCTCGGCCCGGCCGCCATCGTGCTCAGCAGAGGTGCCGCACTTCCTTGCCGCTGGGATGGCAGACAGACAGACAGACACCAGAGCCCCACAGAGGAGCCCTCACAGCAGCGGCCCCACGGATGGGGCAGCCCCGCGTCCCTGGTGCACACTGCTGCGTGGGGCTGCAGTCCTCACATTGCTCCGTGCTGCTGCCCGGTCCCTACGGAGAGCAGCTGACCCGGCATATGTTGGCAGCACGCTGTCCCCAGCAGGGGATGTGGGCTGACGTGGCGGCAGGGAACAGCTCTGAGCACGCTGGGGATTCATGGCTCTAGCAGGAGACACTGCGCTCTGTTTTGGGGGAACAATCAGCAGTGTGCCATGCACTTGTGGTTGGAAGCCAGCCGAGCTACCGGCTCAATTTCTCCTGTCTCTTCCCTTGCCCTCCAAAACATTGAAAGTATTTATCTTCAAGAGTTGGCAACAAAATCTTTCCGCTGTCAGTTATGTTTTCTTGCCACAGCAGAACACTGTGCTCCCTCCCCACTGCTCTGGAAAAACTCCTGCCCTTGAGGTTTTGCAGCCAGGTGCATGGCCTCACCTTCCCACTGAGAAGTGCCATGTAGGAAAACCTGCGAAGAGGAAGGATGTCTCCCTTCCGCACCTGTTCTGTTTTAGGGCCTTCATCCACCCATGTTAAGTGGGAAGGGCATCATCAGGATGTCCCTGTTTTGCTGCAAGGAGGTAGAACTCACCTTGCAGCAATGCTCAGAGTGTGGAAATCCTGTGTAAGGAAGTATGCTCACAGCTTCCAGGAATGAAAGTACTGACTTTTTCTGCTGGTGACACTGAGGTCAGCCAACAGCAAAGGATGACTGCTTGGCCAGTCTTGCAGTGGGGCCAGAGCCATCACTTCAGTTCCTTAGTTAAGCAGCAGCATTGGCCACATCTGCAAAAGTCCATCAGCTGCTGTGAGCTTTGCTAGCTCCAGCTGCTGGCTTGTGGAGAGCCCTGTTCTGCAGACAGCCCAGCTCGGAATCTCAGCAGTAAATTCACCCACTACCTGTTAACTATCCACAGAAGTCATAAACATTTATGATCCCATAAGGAAAACCTCCTGATGTTCTTGGGGGAGACAAGAGCAATGTTTCCCTCCTGCTGCCATCCGCTGTGTATTCTGAGCTGTAAACATAATAAAAAAGAGCACAATACAAACTGCCACCCCACCAAGGTGAATAAAACCCAACAAACCGAGGAGGTGCAGAGCCCTGGGGAGAAGATAGTCCTGGCACTGAGGGAGATATGTTCAGCTCTTTGTTTTGTCATCCACTCCTTTGTAACCCATATGGAATGGTCTCCGCTATGTGACCATGAGCACCTGTCCCCAAAAGTTCCAGCACCTCTAACACATTTTCAATTTGCCCCTTCCAGAGAACGTCCCCCAGCTGATCCCTGAACCCGGGACCCTGCTGCACTCGCGGGTGTTGCAGTACCGGGAGCTGCTGGACTCACTGCCCATGGATGCCTACACACACGGCTGCATTCTGCACCCCGAGCTCACCACCGACTCCATGATCCCAAAGTACGCGACCGCTGAGATCCGCAGTAAGTCACCTCTGGGGCAGGGAGCCGGCAGGATTCCGGCCTCTGCACATCTGGTAGGCTCCGTCTGCAGGCAGCTCCCATAATAAACACCTGCTCCCCTGTGAGTTACCAGCCAAGGACATTGGCTGCTATTCTGGCTGAGAGGCTCAGAGTACCTCTGTAGGAACAGAGAACCCCAACAGCCACTGCAGGCTCCTGGTGGAAAACAGGGAGCTTTGCTATTTTGTGGCAGTGTAGAGCCTACTGCTGGCTGCACCCACACCCATACTGGCAGAGCCAAGCTCTCATTCACAGGAACAAGGATGGAGACAGATGGTGCCTGCCAGGAGGAGGTTAGCCCAGCTTGGGGCAATTTATTGCAGCCCTAAAGTGTTACTCTGCATTTTGTATCCTCTTCTGCCATTTACCCTGCTCCCTTCCCTCAATGGAGCTCCCTTACACGAGACCCTTCCCGACCTTCTGATGCCCTGATGGAGCCAAGGCAATGAAATGCTGAATTTCCCTGCTGATAATGCTGGCAGCACAGATATGATTTGCAAAGGCAGCAAACACGCATGATACAAACCCAAACCTGCCAGCACTGCTGCGCTCCCGGCCCAAGCACGGCCACCCTCCTGGCCAGCCCTGCTCCTGCTCCGCAGCCCCAAGTGCTGTACCTGGGCAGGTGGATGCGCACAGCTGAGCCCAGGGACCCCCCTCATTGGAGTGGGGATGCACACGGTGACAGCACGGCTCTGATCTCCAAGGCTGCAGCCAGTTTGACTCCCCAGAGCCTCTGCATGCAGCCAGAGCTGGAACCTGGGATTTGTGGGATTAAAATGACACAGGGCAGGCCAGGACCCTGACTCAGGCACAGGGGTACCCACGGCCCTGTCCTGCATCCTTGGCCTTCAGGCTCCTGTGATGTGGGTTCCCTCCCAGACCCCTTCCACCGTTCACCAGTGGGCTGCCAGTGGGGCTGCACCCTGCACATGAACACGGCTCCCTCTGGCTCTGCCACAGAGACAGGGGAAGGCAGGCCCTGATTTGCAGACCAGCTCTGCATCTTGCTGATGTTGTAATAATTTCCAGGAAAAAAATCAGAGTAAGGTGCAGGACAGGGAAAAAGCAGCTTGGTAGCTCTGGGCAGGCAGAGGCAAACCCTCAAGGCTGAAAATGGGAACAGAGCAGAGGTGCTGGAAGACTCCCATCCATGGAGATTGAGTACCTTTTCCTCTCCCTCGTACCTTTTCTTACCAAATCCCTACATCTGTGCACTGCACAGCGGGGAGGAGGCTGCCCTGTGCAAGGAGCTCTTGCAGCAGGCAGTCTCTGTTGTTCTGGGCTTGTGTGAACACATTTGCTGGTGTTTAGCAATTAGCAGCTGGTGCAATAAACCAAAACCTGATCTGTGCAGCACACTCTAAACCTCAGCAGCAGCCCAGGCCATGCCAGGGGAACTAGGATCTGAATTTTACTCTGGCCCCGAGCCTCGCTGTTGGGAAAGGCCTGGCAGACAGTGAGGCTGAACCAAACACCAGCTACGCTGCTTAAATCCAACCCCACCCTTGGTTTTGTTGTCATCTCTCCCATCAGTGCTTTGGGACAGACACCCGTTTTCTTCCTGGTGTTGCATCACACAGCCCACCGAATGGGGCTGATCTGTGCTTCTCCCAGCAGAGATGGGAAAAGCCGCTCCAGGGGAAGCTAAGCCACACAGTCTATTCTTTTTTAACACAGAGGAACAGCACTTCAAAGCTATTTAATGCATCAAAAAGTCTCATTTTCAAACAAAACAGCGGGATTGTGCCTGCAAATCCCTCTTAATTAAGCTCTCTGAAGGGAGCTCAGCTGCTTCCCAGGCTAACCTGTGGGATGGGAGTACTCCAAAGCTGCACTTCCAGCCTGCTGAACAAACCATTTTCCTGCTGTAAAAGTTGGCAAGGCTGCGGCTCACCAGGGAATACTCCAGTAGGCTCAGCTCCTGCCTGCCCTCAGCTCGTCCCTGCCCTCACACACAGCCAGCAGCTCCGGGTGGGAGGACAGACCCTGCAGCCCCTCTGTCTATCTCCCCCAGGGCATTTGGCTAATGCCAGCACGGAACTGATGAAGCTGGACCACGAGGAGGAACCACCACTGACAGAGCCATACCTCTCCAAGCAGAAGAAGCTCATGGTGAGTTGGCCAGAGCCGCACGAGGCTCTTTGGTGGTGGGCATGACTGTGGGGATGCATAGCCATCAGTCCATCCATCCATGTCACCACTGCTCTCCACCAGGCCAAGATCCTGGAGCACGACAATGTGAATTACTTGAAGAAAATCCTGGGGGAGCTGGGGATGGTGCTGGACCAGATCGAGGCTGAGCTGGAGAAGAGGAAGCTGGAGTACCAAGGTAGGTGCTGGATGGTGTTCAGACAGTGTGCTGCTTTGGGGATGGCCGATGGCTCTGCACACTGTGAAAGCCCACACGGAGTTCCATGGGGCTTGCACTGACAGTAGAGGGGCTGCTGCAGACCATTTGGGGCTCTCGCATTTAGGGCACGCAGCTGTTATTTCCTTGCTGACCTCCAGGTAGCCCCTCCACCTTGCAGCTTTGCTCCTCCTAGCTGCTTTGCAGGAGCTCTGCAGTCACTGCAGCATGGTGACACGTCCCACGTTCCACAGTGACCCACCAACCGGCCGCTAACCCTGCGGTCCTGTTCTGTGCCCATTGCCTCCATGGGGGGAGGAGGATTCAGCATCGTGCCACCACAGATGTGTGTCACCTGCAAGTCTTCTCTGCCTGCCCACCTCCCCAGGCTCCCAGCGCTCAGCACTGGGCTGTGGCACATGGCGGGGAGCCTGGTGGCACTGAGGAGCCCAGTGAGGTGGAAGCTCGTGCGTCAGTCAGCAGCAGGAGGGCTGGAGTGGCTGCGGCCTGCCCTGACCTCAAACAAACACCGCCGAGCACCCGCCGAGAGCCGTCCCACAGCCCTGGCAGCACAGGCACAGCTGCGCATCGCTTGTCCCACCGTCACCTCAGCATCCCTCTGGAGCAGGGCTCCTAACCCCGGGACAGCTGACGATGGCAGGGATGGAGCACAGCCCAGAGGTGTTAACAAGGGGCAGCCCCACAGCCGGCCCTATGTGGGGAGCCGTGCGTCATGGGGCCCACAAGCACAGCACAGGGCTGCAGCGTGCCCTGAGGTCTCAATGCGGCACCAGGCAGCGGCTTAATTGCATCCAGCAGGCAACCTCACTGACTGACCTGAGGGCTGGTGGGGATTCAGCAGGATTCTGTCTCATTAGGTGCCCTCTGCAGAGCTGCTCCAGCCAGGTGCGGTGCCCCCCACTTCCAGGTCCTCCACCTGCCAGCCCCAGGGCCACGCAGCCTGCAGCAGGCTCCGGCTGTAGCACCCCACAATTTATTAGCCACTGAAAATATTTATTGACTAATTAGGCCTAGGCAATCTGTCCACTCAGGCTGTGCCTCTGGCACGATTAGGCAGGCTGCCAGGCTGGTACAAACGAGGCCTGCTAATTACCAATAACTCTCATGGCCTGGCCCCGCAGGCAGCTGAGCTTCAGTTGTGCCTGAGCACAGGGCTGCCTCCAGGCACCAGCCTTCCACCCCGTCTGTTAAGCAGAGCCTCACACAGCAATACTAGCTGCTCAGGGCAGTGGAGGAGAGCCAAAATAAAGGATTTGGTGCAAAGCATCCCAGGTTTTAAGGTGGGTGCAGAGCACAGATCCCTATCCCTATGGCCAGCAGCAGATCCCACCTTCCCTTCCCAGCACATCTCAGCATTTTGGGGTCTCCTTTTCATTTAGATCCTACAAAGGAGGATAATGTTTCTCTGCAGCCCAGAGAGAGCAGGAACTGGATTTCTTCCCACGTACTTCTGCTTCTGAGATTTGCTGGGCGGGTGCTGAGCAGCATCCCAGCTCCACTGCTTGCTTGCAAAGTATAACAAGCAGGGATATCCAAGGCACAGCTCTATGCAGTGGACAGCCGGGTTTTGTGCCCCTTCTGTAGTTCTTTCCTTTCCTGTACCTCCCTTTATTTCCTCCTTGTTAGCAGGAAATAACCTGAGCCAGCTTCTTCCAGCATGCTTTTTCATGGACATATCCTGGATGAGGTTGTTTCCAGGCTCACCACTATCAGGGACTATCAGTGCTGTGATACCTTCTCTCATGCCCAGCACTCACACGAGCTGTGCCTGTACCCAAAACCTGGTTTGTGGCACTGAAGCAATTTGGTGTCCCAGTGCTAGAGAGGGGACTGAGTCAGGACCTCCCCAACAGCATGCAGGGAGAGCAGCCAGGCTGGGCCAGCAGATGGTTTTGATTCCCAAGGATTTCTCACATCCCTAAAATAGGACCGTGTTACTGTGTCAAACAGCTTGCATCGCCCAGCAGCAGCCAAGGACAAATGCTGTTGCTCTCTCTGAGCATTAATGCAGCAAAGTGGTCACTGAGCCACAACACAGCTATTTTGTAGATATTGATTTGTGTCTCCATGCGGGTTATAAATGCCCGTTGCACGTTCCCAGCTTTGTGGCACCACGTGGCCTCCTAACAGATAAGGTCTGGTCTTCTGGGAGGACGTCACAGTGCTCAGAAAAGGATTTGGAGTCTAATCCAAAACCTCCTGCCTTTGTGGAGCTTTTGAGCAAGCCTTTAAGCATCCATCCAAAGATCTGTTCTCATCCTTCCTCTTCTGTCATTTGTTTCTCCAGGGCAGAAGTGTGAACTTTGGCTCTGCGGATGTGTCTTTACCTTGGCCGATATCTTGTTAGGAGCTACCCTGCATCGCCTCAAGTTTCTAGGACTCTCTAAGAAATACTGGGAAGATGGCAGCAGACCTAACCTACAGTCCTTCTTTGACAGGATACAGAAACGCTTTGCCTTCAGGAAAGTCTTGGGAGACATACATACCACGCTGCTCTCTGCAGTGGTACCCAATGCCTTCAGGCTGGTCAAGCGGAAACCTCCCTCCTTCTTTGGAGCCTCCTTCCTGATGGGATCTCTGGGGGGAATGGGATATTTTGCTTACTGGTACTTAAAGAAAAAATACATCTAATGCTGGCAGCTTGGTGTTTAGATTGGTGTCTCTGTGCTGTGTGAAATTATGACGAAGCCTCAGTAACTGTAATGAAATTTGAGGCAAGGTATGAATAATAATATTGTTTAATGTAACATTCCATAGTCTAGAAGTAGAAAAGTATACTGCAAGGAAATAACAGCAACAAAAATGCATCAACTTGTAAATGCCTTTTTAGGTTTAAGTATTCCACTCCAGTGGGAGGCTTGGGGGCTGGCCTGGCTCCCCGTGCCCACTGGGAAGCACTGCGGGTGCAATTCCAGGGGAGATGGGCACCCTGAGGAGCTCCCAACACCCAGGTTAACAGTGGGACTTGGATACTCAGCCCTGTTTGTGTTTCCAGAGTGTTCACCGGCCACATTTCACGTATACTAGTGGGGACTTTCTTCTTCTACAAGCCAGTGTTATGCTCGAAGGCTTTTCTGGGGCAGGGTGCAGTAGCTGGTCACGGTGAAGGTGGATTTGCATTCTTCAATTACCCTTTTTTTTGTGGTTTTTTTTTAATGATTTTCATCAGAAAGAATATTTGTATGGAGCTGCTCTTGGCATACATCCACTTTGTATGTCTGGTTTTGGTGGGCTCTTTTTAAAAAAGAATTTGATGCCTGTCTTTAACTGCCACGTTTTTCTCCTGACATGAATGATTTTGACTTCCACCCTGAGCTTTGGCACACGAAGGAGATCCTTGTTTTAGCCTTTTGCCTCCATCTTGAGTTTCCTTTCATGGATTTGCAAAGCATCTTTCACCGCCTGAGCATATCTGGACTCTGACCAAGGACCACCATTTCCAGAACTGTCTGGAAAAGTGTTCCAGCACTTATCTGAAGACGCTTTGGCTTTCTCTTCTGCTGGGGGCTCCTTTCTGTCATTTTCTCGCTGTTTGTTTTCTTAGAGACACTTTGCACAGAATCACATTTATGACTTTTTTGTGCCTTTTGCATGTTGGAAAGAATGATGGGCCTCACTGCTACTCATGCTTTGAAAACTGAGATCTTCAATAAACCGTATGGGAGGAGTAACTGCTTCACATTGCTAAGTGCGTTCAACAAACTTCCAGTCTAATTTCAGAGCATGCCCACGTGCAGCAGGATGTGCAGGTGGTTTGTGCTTTTCCTTTTGCGTTGTATCGGTATAAAATTTGCATGGAAACAAAGCTTATTCCTCTGGCAAGGCACTGATTTCAGTAAGCACTCTTCTGGCTGGTTTTCAGAGCGTTCTGGTGATCCCTCGAGTAACGCTGCATTTGTAGGCTTGGGGACGTATGCCGAGTGTGGCTGAAGCAATACGCGTGGCAATGCCTCCAACTCAAAGGTGATCTTTCTGTCCTGCAAAGTGGCAGCATTTCCCAGGAGCTTTGGTTCTTGATACCAGCTGGCAGTCATGGAATTGTGAATGCTGAGCGGGAGTTACGGGAGCTGAACATGCGGGGAGGGACCAGACAAAAGCAAAATGCACACGTTTGAACTGTGTTTGTCGTGATTGTATGGGGCTGGTCTGACCTACTTCTAGAACACAATCTGTGCAGCTGCAAAGGCACTGTGTTACACATTGCCCCCAGTGACACTACTGGTGTGTGAGAACCCACATCCACCACCTGTGCAGGCACCTATAGCTAAGGCTATTGAGTGAAACATCAGACATGTTCCCTCAAATATGGTTACCAATTTGGTCCATGGCATCAGTGACTTCAGGGAAAAAATAGGTTTTTTGCTTCTTTTTGAAGAGGGAAACAGGGGGGTTCCATGAGGCCATCTCTGTTGTTAATCTGAACGGTGTAAGAACATAACGATGTCCATGACATTACATTCCCCAAAATACATTGCATACACCAAAACAAAACCCTTACCATGGATTTCACCCCTTCCCCTTTGTAAGCTGCTCTACGGACACGTTCCCTGGTGATCTCCAAGAGCCAATTAAATATACACACCAAATGTAGAAAGGAATTGTAATTGGGCTAAAAAGCTACAAAACTCAGAAAGAACAAGAACAAATACTCTCACAGAGCAAATAAAAACACTGGACAAAATAGGTGCTGGTTTTGTTGCAGAGCACTCTGTTATAACTCAGCCATCACAAGAACACCAGGCAAAGCCAGTATCTAGAGCAATGCACAGCTCAGACCAAAATGTGACAGCTGACTCCTGTATTGCTTCATGCTTTGCTGGAAAGCCACAGATGCTGTGGTGATGAGTTTTGTACAGGCTGATCAGTACTGCTCACAAACAAGTCTTTGTTTCGGACCAAATAAAAGAAAAATCAGTGAAGACAGTGCAACTCTCTCCTGCTGAGCCTTGTTTCCCTACCTTGGTAATGAAAAAACACCACAAGTTTTCTCCAGGGAAAAGCAATCTCCAGGAGCGATAAAAGGCAATTACAGTGACAGCAGAGGCTGGACTGATGTTAAGGACCATGCTGAAATGAACCAGGAGATGAATGTCACCACCCCAATCGATCCAGATTAGTGACTTACTATGAAGTAGCCCTGTGGTGATTACAGGCTGTCGTAATAAGAGGTTGCTTTCTCTCTAGCTGATCTAAGCCTCATCAGTCTTCTCCTTTCCATTAGTTTCATTTAAAATTGGAGCACCATTGTACACCCCCGTAAGCCTGGCGCTGACCCAGCGGTCCCTGCCTGAGGCAATTTCTACACAAAGAAACATAGAAGTGATAGAGAAAATCCATGTTCTTACTCCAGAACTTCATGCTCTGCACTCAGCAAGGGGTGGGCAGCAGCACCCAAGGGGTAAGGCTGGAAGCTAAGGTACCCTGACATACAGGGTTTGTTTGCAGCAACCACCTGCTGTTGGATACCTTACAATTTGCTGCTGACCAATTCTGTGGCAGCCTGCTGTCACTGATGCACTGCCGTAGCTGCATGAAACAGAACGAACAACTTGTGCTGTATCATCCTGCACCACATTCCTGTGCACCTGATCCAGCCCCGTTCACAGCCCTCCTTGCCTTTCACGCACCAAATCCCAGCCTAGCACTGAGGAACCTCTTCACCCTGTATGTCAAGATGTTTCTAGCCTTCAAAATCTCTCAGCTTTAGAAGCAATCATGCTTTAGGCTCCTAAAGGCTGTAAAAACTTTAACATGTGCTAAAATGCTGAACTGGTAATTACAAGAGGGAAGATAAGTCACTATTTGTCAAATCCAAACCCTTCTGAACACCTCAGATGGAGCTCCATGCCACTGAGTGAGCTGTGGGTACCCAAATCACTTCTTCACTCCCAGGCCTCCTTTTCAATAGTAAAACTATGGTTTCTGAAATCTTTCTACTCCTACAAGTTTTGCTCAAAAGAATCAATTAATAACATTAAAATTGTGTGGTCAGTGCTATGCCTGGCTGACAGCCTCCCCCTCTGCTTGTCAAGGCGTGGGGAAGACCTCTTCATGCAGAATCAGTTTTCAAAACAAAGCTTGTCAGAGAACAAAGAACAGAGCACACAGCCTAAGCCTGCCTGTCACAAGTTGCCAAAGAAACCGAGATCAAGGACTAAGATTACCTAGTGACCGGCTTGTGGCCCTGCAGGAGATTAATTACTGAGCCTTGCTGTGTTTCTGGATGAAAAAGTATCCTTACCACCCAACTGGAGGCTAGGAGCTTTCATCTCCCAGCTAAAGAGAAGAGAGGTTGGTGTAAGAGCTGCTCCTTCAAGCAAGAGGAGGGTATTTCTGCTGTTACAATAAATCAAGGACTTCTGCACCTGAGAATGGCAAACAGAAAACAGCAGTTCGTGCAAACACTGATACATTCACTGTCATCGAGATCAAAACCAAACCCTTTCATTATGGTCCCATAACATCCTTACGCTATTTCTTAAAGCAAGGCCTCACTGATTCAATCCTAGTGGTTTCACACAAAAGCCATTTCAACACTGGGTCTGAGGTTTTAAGCAGTAGCAAAAAGCCTTGAACTTGTATTCTCAAATAAAGCACATTTATGAGAAACAAATTTCCTTTTCTCACCCCTCATGCTGATTTCTTAATGTGCCCAAATGACATTTACTACCATTATCTTTTATTCTCCATTTTACACGCTCTCCTCTGAAGGATTAAACAGAGAAAACAGTCTGCTTTAAATGCCTCAGCGAAACAAAGAATAGCACATATGCCATAAATAATTCAGACGAACAATTGCTCTGTCAGAACACAGATGCCTATCACTGCAGCAAAGGCACGCAGCAGGAATGGGGCAAAGCAGGGGCTGCAGATACACGAGTGCTGCAGGCAGAGCTGTACGTGCAGAGGGCATTTGCCACTGCCTAAGCAAATTATTTCCATTTGGCTGCAGTGCTGAACAGTATTGATGAGTAACGCACCAACCTCCCCTCACTGCTTACACCGCTGTTTTTCTTGTCTTTTTCCTATGCACAGCGACCTACTTTCAGTTCTCCTTTTCTCTGCTCCTCTCTACCGCTCTACTCCTTCACTTTCTTCTGGCTGTCCCATTTCCCTGCCCCTGGCACTGGGCTGAGGACACACGAGCACTTCCACACGGACAGTTCAGTTGTCAGGAGCCCACGGGCTGCGGAACTGCACCAGCAAAGCACTTCTCACTTCCACCTTCTGAGAAAGAGCAGCAGAGGAACGGAGAAGAAAGTCTTGCTAAAAAACCAACAGCACAGATCAACTGCCAACTCTGAAAGCTTTTTGATAAAAATAACACTGTCCGTCCCCCTGCTTTCACTGCCTGCTCTCTCAGCCCTTTCCTAACAGCACCTTCGCTCTCCTGCGACCCAAATCCTTTTTAGCTGTAGCTGTTATCCAAATAAAGCTACTTTGCAATCAGAACGGAGTGTAACTGGGTTTGAGGGCGTGTATGAGTTCTGCAGGCACTTCACATAGGATGAGCACTTCACATAGTTCAGAGCTGCTTCACGGATCCTCTTTGCATCCCAAAGTAACGTCACTCCACTGCACGCTTCCTAGAACAGTCTTCTATTTTTACTTACCAAAAGCAATTTCCTTCCACTCCTTGACCTAAGAACCAACCACTACAGAAGAGCAAAACGGAGGATTTTTGGACTCGAAGAAAACTAAAAGAAAGCTGAAGTAATGGTGCAGTACTGAGAAAAGCTGTGATCTAAAATAACACCCAACCACTGAGCCCACCAAGCATATTTTAAATCACTGCTTGCTTTCATCATCTGCAAAAATACTCGGCAGATCCTGAGTGACACTCAGAACCAGCACAGGCCTGCTGGGTTTGAGTGCAACAATTCACGTATTAGGACAGAAACCTAACAGGCTTTGTGGCATTTGTATCATCCTTATTTTCAATTAATTTTGCATGCTTTCTTTCTGCCACAGGCAACTATTTTGAGCTGCAGCCTATTTAGCTGACTTTTCTCCAGCAGTGAGTCACGATCCCATCAGTTGCATTGCGTGCAACCTTCGGCTGCAGCTCTTCCTGGTCCTCACACAACAGAGGACACCTTACAGAACAGAACAGGATTGAGGAAGAGATTTCACAAGAGAGCTGACATTTACAATAAGGGTATGTCTATTTATTGCTCTGACATCAACAGCATTTCCCACAGATTAAATGCATTAAATTGCATCACAGAAAGAATGTGACCTAAAACTGCAAAAATGGACCTTGACTGAACAAAGAAAAATGCTTCAGAAATAAGAAAAAAGGCATCTGTATGTACTTTTATTCCAAGCTTTTCTTTATTCAGCCTCACAATCCCAGGAAGACATGCACTACAACTGCAGACCTCCTTCAGGAGACGTGTGACTGAGAAAGGGCATTTTTATGACCACTTCTTTCCCTTAAGTGAGCTCTCCTGAAAGGCTCTTCATCTTAATCACTGTGCCATATTACAGCTCCAAAGCTTTACAGAAACGTTGTTCAGGTTGTCACAAGGCACAACATGTTGCTTACGTTATGTGACAGCCAGAGGATAAATGGATAGATCTTTCAGATCAAATGTTACAACACAGTTACCTGAAATTTCAGGCACTGCAATCCATCCTGATGGCCGTTTGCATTTCTGGTTTTCCAACTTGTAATCTCTGTATTCTCACTGTGCACTAAAGCACTAAGGTCCTTTATTTCCTTCATGAGTTCAAGCACATCAGGCAGTCCTGCTTCAATAAGTGAGGCATATTCCCTTTCTCAGGTAAATTCCATTACAGTGACTGACCAACTCCTTTTAACAGTGGTTTACTATGAGTTGGGAACCACAGCAGCCTATTTCACCTTAAGCTTTGGCAGAACGGTTAAAGGAGGGGAAGACAAAAAGAGAAAGCATGCTTTTAAGCAGAGGTAAAGAGCTATTACTAATTCTGCAGTCCAGGAGGGGAGATGAAACTACGAAAAGACAAAACTCTAGGAAATGGGTTTGAGTGAACAGAGATAAGCAAGGAGCCGGAAAAGGCTGAGAAGCTGCAGGGATTTGCTTTGAGCTCCAGGAGTGCTATTGGGTGTTATTTTCCTGAGAAAGGGGACCACAAATTTGTTCAGAACTAACTGCTGATTTTCCAAGACATTCAATATATCACAGCATCCCCTACAGTTTTGCAATTAAAGTGCACCATGGGGTACAACTGGGTGTTTCTCACATTGCCATAAATCGCCATGCATCAAAACAGAAAATGAGATTGTATTATTTCAGTTGCTCCACGACCAGGGAAGCATTTACAGAGCAACTCTGCTCTGAGCAAAAACTCTCACGAGAATCCAAACATCAGTTTCAGGTATGACTGAAGTCTGAACGTCCCAATGGATCTTACAGAAGAGCTTTCCCATCTGCCTGACTTTGCCTCCTGTGACACAAACACGTGAAGGTGCCAGGAGCAAAACAAATCCTTAAGCTTTCCAATGCATTCTAGATGAAACTCCCCTCTTTACCAGCCCTACCAGAGGAGAATGTCTAAGGCACCAAGAGCAGGAACTGCCTCACACACATCAGTCAGGCCAAATGCCAGTTACACTTCAATGGATATTTGCTGTTTTTTCACTGCGTGTATTTGAGTGCTATGTCAGTAACGTGTTGGAGAGAAAAACCTCCTCAATAATTGTGCAGGTATGGAAAGACAGCTTTGCAGAAGAAGGGAAGCAGAATCTGGAATTAACTATAATGCAGAAAAGGAAGAAAAAAAAAAAAAGGAAAACAAACACCCAACCAAAACCAACCAACACCTGTGTTTCACATGTCTACAGTGGACTGCATTTAGAACCCACTATAGAACTCCTTTACCTTTAAAATGTCATACTTTCTTCTAAATACAATTTAACAGTAACTGTTGGCAGCTGAAATAAAGGATCTGCCAGTTTGATAGGAAGCACCAAATCCAGCTACTCCTACCATTTCTCTTTTGCTGCAAGCCTGAGACAGGGAGGCCACGTTTTTATTTTAATGACAGAAGTTCATCTGGGGGAGGGAGGGAGGTCAGGTAAAGGTGATGTGAAATGCATGAGCAGAAAATTGGCCATTTTGACTTCCAGTTAACTGAAAGCCAAAAGACACCAAGAAGAGGCCTGGAGCACAAGGAAACCTTGTAAGCTAACAGCTGGCACGTGATCTCTGAGAAACACGTACAGGATTTCCAAACTCATAAGGAGTATTACTGCATGGGAACTTTTCCATCTATTTCAGTGGATTAGGCTTTCACTTTGCTACAAAGAGCAACTGTTCACATCTGTGTCATCAACTGCATGGCATACGTAAGCCATCTTGTCTGGTGTTTTTGTTGGTTTTAAACCTTTATTTTTGAGAATTTGTGCCATGTTCATCTATTCAAATGCTGTGCGCTCAGACTGTCACTGATAATTCTGTATCAGCAAAAAAATCTGGGAGGCTGGATCATTCAGGGAAGCGAAGAACAACAGAAGTACCTTTACAGACACCAGAAACACCCACAAAGACACAAACACCAGAATTGTAACTGTTTTTCCATAATCATTTAAATACAGTTTGAGAATAGCCATGGCCCACGTTATTTCCATAACAAACAGTTTGTATGACACTAATCCAAAGCACAGAGAAACATGGATGCAGTGATAGCACAAAACATCTGTAGAACTGAAGATAACATCAGCAAGGCTGTTGGTTTAAATAAACTGCGTGTTTTGGTAGCAGGCCTCGTCTGTGAAGCAAAGTTACATAAAGATAACCTAAAATAGAAACTTAAATCTAATGAAATGAATCAGAAAACCTTCTGGGTATATAATCCTTTTTCACGATGAAAGAGGCTTGCAGCCTAGCTTAACTCAAGAGGGAGCAGGCTTACAGTACATCAAAAGGACTGCAAATGAATCTGCATTGTTCAAATATATTTTTAGTTCAACCCAGTATGAGTTGATCAGTGCAAATTTCCCAAAAAGTCAGCTTAAAGGCAATTGACTGCAAAGACAAAAGGAGGAACTTGATAGAAAATACTTCAACTCCTGAAAAAGCTTTTCTGCATGGTGATCTGTACTTTCTAATGCTGCAAAACAACTCAGGTTTGGCACTGGGCAGAGTGGGAAGTCAAGGGAATTCAACTTTCCCCACAGGCGAGCCACAAACACTGAATTGACGTCACTATAACTACTGCAAATACTTCCACTCATCTGCTGAAAAAGAACTGTAGAGATGGTAAAAAAAATACAAAACCACAACAAAAATGTGCCAAGGTTGACTATGCTGCATCATATTCTGTTCAACAAAACAATCAGTTTGGAGCCAAACGCTGCAGTTTGTCTCCTCTCACACTACAGCTGTGCCTACAAACCTCCTCAACTGCCTCTTTCAACACTGCAACCTTCACACAAGTTTTGTGCAACTGCAACAGGAGCAAACCTTTATAAAACCTAATAAAAAGCTTTGCAAGATAAAAACTATGCTAAACGTTTGATATGATGAGCAAACCCATCCAACTTCATACCCATTCATTATACAATGAATTATAGTGTGTTTCCAGATGCATCAGAAGCAGCCACAACTATGTGTGCAATCAAAATTAAGTAGCTTATTGACATTCATTGATAAACAAAACAAATACTGCTTCAAGCAAACCGCTTTGCAGCTCTTAGGATGAACAGTAAGTTCCATTCAATACCAAGCAGGCTACTGAGCAAGTTAAGCTAACATGTTCATAACACCAGAATTTTGCTGTTCTGGAAGAAACAGACCAGAAAGCACTCATAGTTTTATGGTGCTAAATGTGTAAGGTTAAAAAAAAAAACAAAAAACAACCAACCACCCAACTTTCTCAATAGACTTGGGATTTTTTTGTGTCCAGCATGTTACAAAACATGACTACAGTTATTTACAGTGCAAGGAGAAGGTAAGACTTGTTATTGAAGAGTTCCCTTTCCAAAGACAGGTATCACTTTCAAGTCACAGACTGCTTAAGCTGTTGTATCTCAGATTCATTCTCTTTGCTGCAGAACACGCATACACCAACTTGCCCCAAACCCTTGTTAGGTGTATTTAATACCTGATAACATGAGATGTTAGCATTTTGCAACTGAGCTTCACACTGCTTTACCAAATGAACATTGGTGGCTAAAGCCTTCTGCAATAGTTAGCAGCAGTCATTAGGAGAGACTTCCTCTAAGAAAGAACAAGTAGGAGTATTAAAAAAAAAAGACATCTGGATCATCCCTGGTATTTTGATAAAAATAGATAGAAAGAGGGAGAATTAACTTAAGGTCAGTTAAGGTCTTAAAGTGCAAAGGCCTCTGTCAGTTTTGGAAGATCTGTTCCTCTATTTATTAATGCAAGAAACAAATCCAACTTTGTATTTCTTTGTCAGTAACTCCCAGCCAAGAGCAGACCTTTTCCACTACCAATTTCTTTTTCATCATGAGCACAAAGTTTATTATCACCTCCCAGCCACCAGCTAGTAAAGGCTGTTTTCTCCAGCCCGTTACCTTGTTCCTCACGGTGGAAAGCCTGTAACCATGCCTGTACTGAACTACTCTGGCATTGAAAGAAAAATCCAAAGTTAAAAAAATTATCGGCTGTAACCGTATTTCTTTGAACTCAAAGGTACATTTGGGAGAGGCAGTCCGGGAGAAAAAGGTTTCAAGTACCAAACTCTGTATGTTGCATACCAAGCTGCCAAACCTATCAGTGCACCAAGAAGTTTTTGACTGAAATTGTGGAAATACACAGTAGTGCATAGAAACATGAACACCCAGATCATGGTGAGAAAACACAAGGACACAAAGAGGCCGTTGATAACAACACGCAGTCTTGAGTTGCGGTCTATGGACAAGCCTTCCAGCACAGCCATTTCCTCCACAATCATGAGAGTGCAGTATGAGAGCAGAAAGCAGTGCCCCGAGATATCAAAACCATCCCAGACCCCGTTGTTCCGATGGCACTCCTGCTTGGTGGCATAGAGCTGGTGAGGCTCACTGAGTTTAGTCGAGGTAATGCACGTGCCGGTGAGATTCTCGATGTACACGAAGAGTTCAGTGCACACATACCAGACAGCAGTGCCCACCAGCAGCGTGCTGAGACGCCGCAGAGCTGCCAGAATGCTCTTTGTGGAGCCGTAGAGGAACTTGCTCTTGGCAAACAGGTAGGTGGTGACTCCGATGAAAGGCAGCAGAAGCCAGAACGTCCATGCCCAAGCCACCTTGACAAAATACCTGCCAGAGAAAAGCCAAGAGAGAAACATGCACCTGTGAAACTTCATAGGAGCCTGCAGGAGGGAGCTGGGGGTGCGTGGCAGTGCTTGAACTAGCAGCCTTTCAAGGTCACTACTGAGAGCTGTCTAAATTAGGCCTATGATTCCTGCCCTCAAAGTCAAGCATAGCTAAAATCTTAACCCTCTTCTCATTGTTTCTCTTGGGTCTCAGACCTGAATAACTCCTTCACTAGGTACTTCAACTGTTCCCCAAGCAGCATTCCCTCAGACTTACAGCCTCATTCAGACTCTCAGCTGACTCACAGTACATTCAGTTCTTGCAATTGCCTTTACCCTACAAACACAGTCAACTTTGCCTTACTCAAAGAGCAGCTGCAAATAAAATTTTCTCGGCTTGCCACCCTGACCCTTGGTCTTCCCTTCCTCTTCCATCTTAAATAAACTTTGCTTCACAACCTTTCACAACCTTACCCTCTTCCTACTAAGTAAGATCCCCCAGAAAAAGGATGACTCTTTTCTCTAATCAGCTTAAGACACTTTTCCTCCATTATCACCTCATAAAACCAATGAAGTAGCATAACTTCATAGCAGGATCCATTCTTCGCTGTCTCTCCAGCCCTCCTTTGGCATACACAAATTCCCATGCCTCAAAATGCATTCCCTGCCTTGACAATTTTTGTTGTGGTGTCTATAAAATGTTGGAAACAAGCTGATGATGTGCAGCTATCCTATTTAGCAAGACATTGCCTAATTAGTTCTGCCAGTATTGCCCAACTAAGAGAAATCTTTTCAGATCTTACAACACAGCAGGTACAAATGAGCAAAGAGACCAGAGCCTCCAACCTTCTGTCTCCCACCAGCACCTTCCAACGCAGCCTGCTTCCTACCAACTGGAGACAAAGAGGAACTGTGCAGCCCCCCACTCCATACCCTTCTTGTTTCTTGAAAAATAAACTCAGTCTGTGCCCACGTTAGACACACTTTTCACTTACAAGCTCTGCATCTAACGAGCACTAACAAAGCTCTGCATTTTCATTAGGCTCCCAACAAAAGCCACCAGGGCCTTGCTCAGAGCTGTGGGGGGTGCCATCCTCACTTTACAAGAGAAAAGGCAGCAGCAATTACAGCTGCCAACACGGAATAGCAACAGAAAATAAAGTTCTTGTTTGGCTGAGAAATTCAAAAGCCAAAAAGGCTGCTAACAGGGCTAGCAACCAGCAAACCAGCAAGACATCTGGGGGGAAACTGCTTCAGAACCCATCAGTGCTGACAAACGTCCCCTACTAAAAGGCAAATGACTCTGCAGCGTGTTTTATCATACCATCTATCCCACTCAATCCATGTTCCTCCAATTGTTCTTTCCAATCACACCCAGAGACTGCCAGACGTCACCGAGCGACAAATTCAAACCAAAGCAGCACAAAGACAGCCACGAAGGAGACGGTCGGCAGCGTTACGTGCTGCTGTGCCCGCTGAGCGCGGTGCCAGGCGCTGGGAGCCGCGAACAGGCGCTGCGTGGCACAGCCCACATAGCGCACAGCGGTACCGCGCTGCCCTTACGGGAAGCCACAACGCGCCCTGTCTCTTCGCTTCCCTCTGGACCATCTCGGTAACCATCAGTTCACCCACATCCCAGGAGGAGCCAGGTTATGCGTTGCCCCCTCCCCTTCCCGGCCCACCCACGAGCACAAACCCAGGCTCCCCGCCCGGACAGTGCCCGCCCGCACAGCCCCGGCCCCGCTCACACGTTGAGCGCGTTGCGTTTGTTCTGCATGGGCGTCTCCAGCACCAGATCGGCGTCCTTGAGGGCGGACCCGAGGAAGACAAGGCCAAGCAGCAACCAAGGCAGCCGGCGGCGCACTGCCGCGGTCACCAGCCGGGCCCGCAGGCAGCGGGCGCACCGCTCCAAGCGCTCCATCGCGGCCGCCGCTCCTCCTCCCGTCCCGCCGCTCCTCCCGGCTCCTCCCGGCCGCCGTACGCGTCACGCAGAGCCCCGCCTGCCGCCCGAGCGCCCCCGCGCGGCGCCCGCCGGGCCCTGAGCCTGAGGGGGCCGGAAACAGCGGCTGTGCGCATGCGCGGGGCGGATGCGTGCATGCAGGCGACCCCTGTCGGACCGCCGCTTTAAAGCGTTGAGGGGGCGCGGGAGCTTGCAGTCTTTGAGATTAGAAGAGAGCTGCGAGGTCATGGAGTGCCGCGGGAGAGCCGCGCTGAGCAACCCGCAGTGCCGTAATTCGAGGCCTCCCTGCGCAGCCTGTGCCACTGCATCGCCTCTCTTTCTGAGAACAAATTCTTCCTTATCTCCAACCTGAACCCCGCCTTGCACACCTTAAAGCCATCACCTCTCCTTCTGTTGCTGTTACCTGGGAGCAGAGGCCGACCCCCACCTCACACAACCTCCTTCAGGGAGCTGCAGACAGCAGTAAGGTCTCCCCTGAGCCTCCTTTTCTCCAGACTGAACCATCCCAGTTCCCTCAGCCACTCCCCATAAGTCCCCACTGTGCTCAGACCCCTCACAGCCCCGTTGCCCCTCTCTGGATGCGCTCCAGGCCCCGATGTCTGTGTGGCAGTGAGGGCCCACAGCTGAGCACAGCTGAGCACAGCAGCGGTGCGGAGCCTCGCAACCTCACACCATGCCTCACTGCTCCACTTCTGAACCTTCTTCTGGGCCTTAAAACAGACAGAGAAGGTATTTCTGGAGCTCTTACTTCTCTGCCACCCATGTTTGCAGCTGAGAGCAGTGGTGCCCAGGCAGTTCTGCTGTCATTACAGTGTCTGAGACTTACTTTGTTGAACTGCTGCTGCTGTCATTTCAACTTAAAATACAAAAAATAAACAATCAGGAGAGAAATTGCTAAATGAACAAGGCCCCTTTGTTCATCTGAATGATCTCAGTAGTAAAAATGTTCTGGGCGGGGGGAAACCAGACCCCATCTGAGACAGGATTGGAAAGTTTCTTGCCAGAGAGCATTTGAAAGTTCTGTGTTTTTGCTTTTCTTTTTTCTTTTTTTTTTTCAGTCATCATCAGCAAATCTATGACAACATCTGGGCTGAAAGAGCAAAAGGATACATCAAAGTCGACTGATGCACAAGCAACTTTAGTATGTACAGATAGTTTCAGCTAAGGGAGTTATCCAGGGTAAATGGCATTTGGCGATTTATTATATGCTGTTTTTAATAGGACTGCCATGACCATGCCTAACACTTCTAGCCACAGCACTGTACCCTGAATTAGAGATGACAGGCAGCTGCGTTCACTCAAATGAGTGAGTATAACAGGGTGTGAGAGCAGGTTTTACATTGTCCAGCATTGTCTGCCTAAATCCCCTCCTGGGGGAGTCCAGCTGCCTTTGAAACTTTTCCTTCTTTGCTTCCCAGGTTTGAGTCTCTGATCTCCAGATTGTTTTCAATGCCTGTGAGCTGGAGATGGCAAGTTGCTTGGTTGGTTGCTAATGAAGCATACCGTGGTGTCTACCACATTGCAGGAAGATTCTGTAAGCTTGGCACCTGTTCCAGATGAAGGGAATTGATGGCATGGGCTGAAAATTTGTCTGTCTTCGGCTCAGCTTGAAATGTCTGAGGATTATCTCTATAAATCATGTATTCCAGCAAATGCAGTGAGCAAAGCTCAACTGGGTTCCAGGTGTCCTGCAGATTTAGAGTGAATCTGTAGTTTCATGCCATGTATTTGCTGCCACATGCACCAGTCCTTTTGAGGAGCCAATTTGTAGCTCCCTACACAGAGAAGTAGGATTTAGGCATTTTAAAACTGTAGAAAATGCTTTTACACGTAACCAGGGAAGAAGATTTATTCTAGATGGATTGTAGAAGGTTCCCAAAGAGTCCTCACAGACAACATGTCAATCTGTGTCAGGTATAAAAACACTAAATGGAGTTGTTTAGGTACAGCAGATCTGGCTGTACTTCTCTTCCTTCTTTTCCTTAAGCTTACCAAATGCCAGACTCAAGCTGAAATCTTCCAGCCCATTCAATGAAGATTAAATGGTGGTTTTTTTTGTTATTGCTGTTGTTATTTTCTAGTTGAACAAGAAGTTTAATTTGAACCAAGGCTCCAAACAATTTTGTTTTCACTGAAAAATTACATTCTGCTTTAGGGTGGTTGATAAGCATGGTGACTGCATGCCCAGTCACCCAAAGCTTAGGGCTTACTTGGACATGCAACATAGACATCACAGCAAGCTGAGCAGAGGTTTGAAGTGAATTTCAAAATGCCTTGGAAGAACATCTTCACTCCTGAGCTGTGGAAACTCTGGGAAGGAATCTTTCCTGGTCATAAAGTTCCATGATTTATCCAGTGTTTCGGTATTAATCAGAGCAAGAACACAAAACTGTTCTCTTACTAGTTTAAACAATTTATTACTGAAAAAAATTCAATTCCAGCAATTCTGTTAATCATCTGTTTCACTTGACTGCAAGCAAATCTGGCTTGCTGATGCAAGAGTACAGCATGGGTACCTTCTGCAGAGTTGAGAACTCTCATCTGGAAACACACCCTAACCTCAGTAAGCCGTCAGTGGAAAGAGATTGTAACCTATAGCAGCTCTTGCCAGGAGCCTAAGGCACATATATGCCTAATTCAAGCACTTAAAATAAGATTTGGAGAAATTCAGACCTTCCTGCAAGTCAGTGATGTTTTCCTCAGACTCTTGCTATAGCATTGCCATCTGCTGTCACCTAGATGCTGAGTAAGTGGATCTCAATATGTCACACACAGCCTCACAGATACATGCATGAGGCCCCATTCACAAGCATTTCCTTCTCACATTGGGTTTGCACGTTACAAGAAGGCAAGATTGTTACTGAGAAGTTAATTACGCCTTCAAGCCAACCATGGAGCAAATTAATGGGGTTTAGTCTTCCAGCCATTTGAGAAAGCCCAGTGGGAGCTTCAGCTGTCACAAGTGTCCTAGTGCTTCCAACTGAGCTGTTCAACACCGAGGAATAAACTGTTACAGGTTTGGCAGTTTGATGTGGAGAAACACCAAAAAGACTGAACAAACTTGTCAAAAACAGCTCAGTCAGTTTAAGTCTCTTGAATTTGATAGATAGGACCTCTAGGCACCTTTCTGTGGCAGCAACTCTTTAGCAAAGAGCCCCTCAGAGCACACTGCCAGTGCTCACACACATGGGGCTGAGTTACCCCGCTAGCAATCCCTCATTTGGACCCGGGAGACCTCTCTTTCCAGCCTGCCCTGCTGTGTCAGAGCAATACCTACAGCACGGTGCTTTCTGCCTCCATCCCCACACCACTTTGTGCTCACACAAATGCAAACCATTTGGAAGCCATGCGCTTTCAGTGGCTGTGCCACTCATTCTTTCCAAGCCTTGCTTGCTCTGTTTTCCTTGGTGAACGCTGCTCACATCTCCATGATTGATTGTGTTTGAATTTGATTGTTAAGTGTGCTGGGATGTTTGCATGAGAGCTGCTACATAAGCATAATTTGTGCTGTATTTTCTTTGCCTAATAGAAGATTAAGCTTGAAGTTGAAGATAGTTTTGGCCCTTCGCTGAGACACCATCCTTCATCTCCAGTGCTTTGAACTCTTCAGCCTCCTCTATTCACTGTCAGCTTAAAGTATGCTTTGTTCCCTTGTGTGTCAGTGATGCCTTTGAAAGACAGCCAGCACAGAGCTGCAGCAGCCTTCCCATCACAGTGACCTGGATCCTGCCTGCCTCTGGTGGCAAGGGATGCTCTTCATACGAGAGCATCTCATCACTGTTCTGCAGAACCAAGGGCTTCTCACCTGTGAGCAGGTGCTGCATTATTTACTGCAGAAAAGCTAAATTAAGGAAAAGTTGAATCAAGAAACAGAAGAGAGAAAATGCTAATTCACAACCTGTGTGGCTGCTCAAATAAATGGGAAAGGTCTTCCCCAGTCTTGAAACCCCAGACATTTTGGAAAAAATTATGGAAATCAGCCCCAGGTAATTTCCATGCAGACTTCACTACCTCCAGACCCAGCATTAAAGCTTCCACAGGTCCCTTCAAACTCTGTTCAGATGAATAGAAAGGGAATGATCTTAGCTGAAGGGAATTTTCAGCATAGTTGGTGGTTATATCCAAAGATCAAAATATTTGGGGATACGGGGCAAAGTGTAATAAAGAACCAATTCAGTTTTCAGTGGCACAAACTCGACTAGTGCTACAAATTAATACCTACTGCTAGAAATATTTATATTTCTTTCTCTGCACAGACAGATTTCAACAGAGCAGACTAATGACAGGTTTGAATTTATGGAAGAGAATGGTCTGGTGACCATGGCCCGAGCAAGGATTCAGAGAATCTGGTTTTAATTTGTGGCTCTGACAACCCCCCTCCACAGCCACGGCAAGTTCCTTAACCTCTATATTTCCATATCCTGTGTAGGAAATGGAAGCAGATATGTTTTCCTGCTTCCTGAATTTCTTTCAGAGATGTTATAGAAAGGGACAACAACTGTCTGCTCAAAAATAAGCAGAGCTGACAAAGGCGTGAAGTATTCTTTCTGCAGTGAGAATTCAACAGCCCCTTCATAGACAAAATGGAGATGAGATTGCACCTGAACTGTGTTGTGTGATTAACTATACGTGCATTCGTGCAGAAAGTGCTCCTTGTCATTCTTATCTTACCTGACCTCATAGTGCAGGGGTGATACTTGACCCAGGCTGCACTCACGTTTCGCACAGCACACGATGCTCGCCTTTTGCGTTTGCCAAAGCAAATCTTTGCTCCCAGACACCTGCACACACGAGTTAATTTGTTCTGTGTCAGCTTTTGGTGGTAGATGCTGTGCATTTTTATTTTTTTTTAATCCCTGCACATTTGATGGATGGCACTCAAAGAAACAGTTACTGGTAAGCAACTCCTGTCCAGTCAGGTGAATATTTCTGGTTGTCGCATGGGAGAAGCATTATTTATCGTTTCCATGTG